TCATGTATCCTCATTTCGATTAAGCTCAACTCAAGTGACTTCTAATCTGTGAACCACCTCTGATCCATATTGGTCCCTTACATGTCAAATTTTAAGGCCCCGCCAAATTAATTAATTATTAAAAGGGCCCCTCAGAATCACAGAATACATTATATTGCTCAAAGCCGTAGATAAGAGTGCTCAGAACAATTAAATGACATTAAGAATTATATATAAATATATTATTTTCGTTTCACTAAACTTATTTTTTATAGGATAGGGAAACGAGTACACAGTCCACTTGATGGAAAGTGTTTTGCTGCGGCCCATAGACATCTACATCTATCCTCGATTACAAATCAAAATGCAGATGTGTTGTCACCTGTGAGGACTAAGATGGAATGCCTGGTTTCCAGTAGAAATCGTCTCCGGTTCTCTATACTCACCATACGAAACATAGCAGCATTAAGCTACTATTTTACGCTGGTATTCTGTGAGAGCGTGGTCCTTCCCCGGTCGAGCCGAACCATTCGTGCTTCAATTATACTACTAATATAACTGCAGCATGGCTCTACCACGTATATTGGTTCTATTATATGTTACTGTTTTAACCATTGGACTTGTCCAGGAGAAATTAGCACAAGAGTACCGAAAACTATACCTCCTCAAGTTTTTTATGCAATGTTCTTCAAATTGTGCTACTGTTGATATAAATGCATGTTGCAACTCGTTTCTATATTGTTGAAACCGATTTTTTTTGTTTCAAACAATTGTTATTTTTAAACAGGACATTTTTTATATATTTTTTTTTTTGATGAAATACGAATAAAAAAGATTGTATTGATAAAGTAAATATTTTTGAAATTATGCATTTTTAACATAAAACATACATAAACACTCACGCCTGTCACCCAGAGGGGCAGGCAGAGACTACAGACTTCGATTTAGCACGATCCTGACATACCTCTCTCGCCTCTTCCACATCCATATACCTACGCATACATGCTCGTCGGTTAAGGGTACTCTTAATTTGGCCCACTTTTAGTATATCGCCAAACAAACTTCCGCCTAGGACGTCCCTTTCCGACTCTTCCATTCACTTCTTTAACATATATTTGCTTTGTCAGTCTTTCCGCATTCATTCTTTCTACATGACCGAACCACCGAAGCATTCCTTTCTTAATCCTGGTCACCGCATCATCTTGCAAACCACACTCTTCTTTTATCACACAGTTTCTCACCCTGTCACTCAGATTCAGCCCTAACATACTTCTTTGCGACCGCATTTCTACTGCATTTATTTTACTCTCTTGCTTCTTCTGCCACACCAAACTTTCACTACCATATGTTAAAGTAGGCACCAATACAGCATTGTGAATTGCCATACGTGCCTTTTTTGACACATTCTGACTTTTCACAATAGAGTGTAGAGCCCCATTTACTTTATTTCCTGCATTCACTCGTCGTTCAATATCCTTATCATATTTAGCATTCTTAAATATTTGAAAAATCACAAATGCGGATAATTTAACCTATTAAAATACATAAAGGAAAGACAGTGAAATATAAAAAATATTTTTTTTATATTTCTTTATAAAATTTAAATAGAATGGTCCTATGGCTTTTTACAATAAAAAGTTATATTTTCGTAGTAATGTAATTAAAAAAAATTAAAACTTTTAAATTCGAATACTTTTGACTAATGAAAAACATACAAAGAAAAAGAATGAAATATAAAAGCAAGTGTTTGTATTTTTAATGAAACGCCAATAACAAGGTATGACTTTTTAAAATAAAGTTAATGAAGAGTTATGAATTTTGAAATATTTAAAAAATTCCAAATTCAGATACTTTTGTCTCATTAAAATATATAAATTAAAATAATAATATATAAAATATTTTTTTATTCTTAAGACAATAGTTAATAATATCCTTAAACGAGAATAAAAAAATCATTTTTTATACATTTCTTCATATAGTTTTACACGACGATTTTGTGAAAATGTTCATAATACACTTTTCTATAACAAAATAACTTACGAATAAAAATAAAACTACAAGTCTATTTTGTTTACACTTCCAAAGTGCCTCTTTAGTACACTTACCTCTTTCCACCTATAAAAAACGGATCGATATGGATTGGACCAGGATATATAGTTTAATACCCTCTTATCCTCCTTGAAAGAAAGTAATATATACTGGAAAAACTCTGACACCCTTTTTTTTTCAAATCATCGGGTTAACGACAATTCTGAATGAAGGCTCTTCATATTATTCATCAGTTGACTGTAGTATTAAAATATAAAATAAATGTAACAAACTAGCACACGATGCACATAATGATACGTGGATACTATAGTTCATAGAGAAAACTTAATTTATCCACAATAAAGGCTTAAAACGCAGAAGCGTTGTACCTCTTGAAGACTACGATTTAATGCTTCGTATCCAGTAGAAAGTATTTTCGGCAGTCTATAGTCACTATTTGAAACCCAGCAGCATTAAGTTGCTATTTTATGCTGTTATTCTGGGAAAGCGTTATGCTATCCCGGGCAAGCCGACCAATTCGTGCTACAACTACAATATGCTGCTAGCTTTAGCAAGGTTCTACATGTATAAATGTTGTTTAACTTTTCCCGAAAATACTAGTTCCATGGTCTGGTATTTCTCATAGTTGTCTCTTATAACATCAACAAGATACATTGTATTAATGTATTCATTTACTTAATAAATGCAATGGTTTGACTGGACGACCTTATGGCAAATGGTCGTGCAAATGGTGGTTATTGTATCGGATAGAAATACAGACACTTGGAGATCAAATCATGTCTTTGCTGTACGCATGCAAAATTACATGTATAATTGATAGAATCGGGCGTTACTTTGGGGAAATCCATTATAATAAAGATATTAATAGTTACTTTGCAACCATCAAAAATTAAATAAAATGATGTGTCTTCCCTAGGTTGAAGAGCACCTCCCGCCCTCCCTCAATTGCGTCACCACCAATCCCAGCACCACAACTCCCAACACTACTATTCTAGGAAAGACACACCATCGACAATAATACGACACGTGTTTCGCCTCTACACGAAGCATCTTCAGGTGATGTTGACTTTACGACGGTTGACCGCTATGCTTAGCAACCCTAACACACCCACAGAACATCTGCTTATCAGACAGTGAAACAAAGAGGGAAATTTTAAGCTATTGCATAGCTTCTATCGCGGGCCTTGAGTGCGGGGACCGAATCCAGAAATTCTGTAACGAAAAAAAACCTCACGCTCCCCCACTCCGAAGGGTACGGAGGTGTGGCTTGAAGGCCGTGCATTGTCTAACGTCGTTTATGTGCGGACGAATTTATTTTATTTTAGACGACGGCTCCGTGGCGCAGTGGCTTGTCAATGAGTGACTGTGCCAGGTGTCGCGGGTTTGAATCCCGCACGGAACAAGTATTTGTATATCCTACAAATAATTGTTTCGGGTCTGGATGTGTGCCCTTATGCAATTTATGTTTGTAAGTTGCCTCCGCGATACAGGAGAAAATCCAAGTGTGGGGGTAACGTTTTTATAAAATAATTATAAAAGAATAGTGAATATTAATGGGCTGTAAATAGATATACGATTAGCTTTATTTATTATTTACATGCATCATAAACTGGAATAAATACCATTAATTAGAACTAAACTTATTTTAAAGTTAAAGGAGTTATAATCGATAAGTCTATGTTTTAAAATTGGGTTTTGTTTTTAAAGTTTAGCAAAACATGTACTTGCTCTTCTATCAGACATTTGATGTATGTAAAAAACACCTTATAATTTATTGGTAATTTAATTATTTTTTTGAAAACAATAGAAATAAATATAATTAACACTGACTTAATAATATGTACTAATTATAATTTAGAACATAAATGAAAAACTCATGACAAGGAAAGTGGCTCAGGACCATGCTTTGCGGCTTTCTTTGGAGGAAGATGTTCAGCAGTGGACTTGTGAAGAGCTGTAATGATGATGATGATTCGAAAACTTGCACGATTAAATTATAAGAAATCGACGCTTTTTTTATATAGGATAGGGTGACAAACGAGCACACAGTTCACCTGATGGTAAGTGGTTGCTGTGGCCCACAGACGTCTACATCTATCCTCGATTACGAATCAAAATGCAGATGCGTTGTCACCCGTGAGGACTAAGATGAAATGCCTCGTTTCATTTAAAAAGTATCTCTGGTTCTCTACACACACTATACGAAACACACAATCATTAAGCTACTATTTTACATTGATATTCTGTGAGAGCGTGGTCCTTCCCCGGTCGAACCGACCCATTCGTGCTACAACTATACTTCTAATATAACTGCATGGTTCTACCACGTATAAACGACGTGCTTCATTTTTTTTCATTTTAAAATTGTTCTCGTAATTATCTGATTGTAAATAAATGTTCATTATTTTTTTTATAAATAGCTTATCGATTCAAACAAATGCTTAAAAGTAATTGTATCGTGCTAATTAAATTAGTAGGAATGTTTAAAGTTGAAATTGGCACTAAAAGGCTGGTAATTGGGCCATCCACCCTACAAAGCGTGAATATAAAATTTTGTAGCAAACTAAACTCGCGGGCAACGTGTGGACGCGGCGACCAAACTCTGCCAAAAATCCTTTGATCTTTTGTAAAAAACCGACACCACATGGATCTCGCGCCAACTTGTGGGCCATGGTTCCAATACATACCAATGAAGCCCAAACACCCCGTCTACACGTTGGCCAATGCTATTGGCCACTACATTCGCCACTGTGTTGGCCAACGTGTAGAGGTGCCGTAACGTCGCTTCAGTTCCGCAGACTTCGGCTCGGTGTTTGTGTGCGTGTAACTAGACGTATGTGTGTGGAATAGCTGCTGTAACTTGAATTAATATCAAAGAAAAAAAAACAAATAATAAATTGTATTCTTTTGTTTAAGGATGCAATAAAGAATAAAATAATAATAATAATAATAAATTTTTAGAAACGCGCAGCATGCCTCTCGAAAATCGACCGCGAATTCCCCGCATACCCCTAAGCAAGCGAAATCGGGCTGTCGTGAGGGCTCTTAACCCAATGCTGGTAACCTATTTGGAAGCCAGCCGGGACCTTTGCGAGACGGACTCAGTTCTTTTTGGCGCCGCAGTGGCAGCTTGCCGTATTATTGGCGCCAAACTTCCCATGGCTGGACGCGCTACTAAACAAAGTAACGCCATCCCAGCCTGGAGAAAAAGAATTGAGGACCGTGTCGCAAAGGCAAGGGCCCTTATCGGCAGACTGATAAGCTTCAGGTCGGGTAATAATAGACCGAGGTTGTGCGCACCGTTAGAATGGCGTTTGCTGGGACAAATATCAGTTTGTCCCAGCCGGATATCACGCAGAAACTAA